TCATTATTCACCAACGACATTTCTGACAACAGTGCAAGTACATCCCACCTCTGCGAAAGATGTAGTCATTAAACTCAGTGAATATAACAATACTACTAAGGAAGTGATTTCAGCACATCCCTTTTGGCCTTCTCTCCCCCCGCAGCCCCATGTTTACTTCTAGCCTTTGGATTGAATAAATGAAACGATAATCAAAGGACATAAGTAAACAACAGTGTGCAGAAGAAGAAATGGGGTGTGTGGAAATCATTTCCCTACAGCAAACATTTACCCATTTGGCCAATTTAACGAATCAATGGTAAACGGTGCTAATTTATGATTATTGTATTCATAGGAATTTAACACGGTTAGAGCTTACCTTCTTAATCTATCAACTAACATTAGCTTTTATAACGAAATAAAGGACAATAAAAGTGGCAAAATTATACAGATGAACATTATACTATATAACAAGCCTACAGAACATTGAATAGCAATTAACAAACAACACGCCGGTAAAACGATAGGAAGACGTAAACATGGATGCAACAACACCAAATTAAGAGAAAATGAGGAGCAGTAGGAACCTTCGGAGGAGGTGGCCAAGGCGGGGAGCTTGGAGATAAGGCAAGCGGACGCAATGGCAGTGTGGAGCGGTTGAAGAGAGCTCAATTCTCGCCGCAACAGCCTTCCAATGCAAATATAAACAAGATTATTACATTCATATACATTTGAAATGTGTGTGTGTGTGTGTGTGTTGCATCTATATGAAAGAAAGAAACTACCTTGAGGAAGGGGAGCGACGAGCCATGAAATTGGACGGAATCGAAGGGCATGGCGCTGCTGAAATTCTTGTTCTTGCTGTTGACGTCGCTGCTCGGAAAAACGCGCGCAGAATTGTCGATCTTCCAGCGATCGAAGCTGACATTTTTTTATCTCTGTTCGTCTGTGTATTTCGATTCCAAACCCTAAAACCTCTGTAAAGCCCCCATTTCACTCACAGAGAGAGTGATGGGGACACAGCTCTAATTCACGTCCTGCGTCGTATTGGGTTGGGCTGGATGAAATGGTATCGTATACGGGCCCAATATATTTTGGGCTTTTAGCCTGAACTTTCGACCAACATGCCAAGTGGGTAGTTGTCGAAATATATTTCTTTTACAAAGCGATGTTCTATTATTCTAGTAAGGGGCTTTTAGATCACGGTCCAAAAATGTAGGCTGTTTTTCGGACTAAGTTCAGTTATTTAATTACATATTTTTGTATCAATTATTCAATTTTATATTTTTAGATAAAAAATTTAAATTCATTACCTTTTGTGATAAAGGCATATAAAATATATATATATATATGTAATGCAATTAATCTGTGTTATAGGTAGACTAACAACAAAAACCTATGGCATAGGCAGATAGACAATTAAATATATATTCTACCCATAAGCAAGATATGAAACATAACTACAAAATACAAAAATATAACACCTACAAGTAAGATACAACTATACATGTTTATTATAAATATAAATCCTTCATATAGTAGATAAATACAATCAACCTATGATATAGGTTGATTATTGACACACCCCGACCAAAATCAAGGCGTGTTGCCCGTCACGCGAAGGTGACGTAGCCATGTGCACAGTGCGGCAACAATATTGATATAAGAAATGCGAATAAATAAAACCCAACTAACTAAAGTACTAGATAAGATAAGGTGCAAGACGAAATAAGTGTGAATTCACAACCAAAGCATAAGTAGCTTAAGTGCAGTCCAGCTGGACGAATACTAATTATACAACACCAAAGGTAAACCTACAATGGTGATATTCTGTCAAAGCTGCCATGGATTCCTCGCAAGCCACCAAAAAACACTCTTAACTAGAACCTGGAGGGGTGCAAAACAAAAAGTGTGAGTGGGCAAAAACAAAGCTTTTCAAAACCATTTCATTTATCAAAGATTGTAACCCCTCGCCGTAAAACCTGTATAATTTCTCAGAAAATAGAATACATATTTATACCACAACCATGCTCAAAATAGCAAACTTCACAAATATGCCATATCGAATATCTCAGCAATAAAATATGTAAGCCAAGTGATATAAATTAATGCAAATGATATGTCAGCCGCAGTCACCTAACGTGACATGTACGGCTGAATCTAGAGCTCATCCATCTAGCCGAAGTCACCTAATGTGACCTGTACAGCTCAAATCCACATCTCAACAAATATACATGCACACGAGTTGGAACCACCTAAAGTGGTTTGTACGACACGACTGGGTATAAATAAGTACGCTAAAGTGCTATGATCACGTGAAGACTGTGTGAATAATCGCGGGTCACCTACGAGTCGGAAACACCTATAGTGGTCTGTATGACAGGACTGTGCACCTAACTTGAATCCAAGGTGAGCGTATGGTGCGGGAGGTGAACATCACGTGAAGGACTGTGCCCTAACTCTAGGCAGAAGCACTAACACCGCGGTGCAAGTTTATGAGCTCTCAACACATCTCACATAATCAACCAATTTACATAAACAATCTACAACTCACCTGGTATTTACCTGAGTGTCCACAGAGTCAAATCACAATATGTACATTTCATACAAATTCATAGTCTAAGCATAAATCAATAGGCATGGCATTTCAAACATAATTTCATTTAAATCAATTTTCTGGGAAAAATCTCAGGTATATAGGTATATACGGAAAACCAAAAGCCCACTCACTGGTTTGTGGAAGGGTCCTTGATTAACTGCACTTGTCCTGAGGATAGGTCTCACATATATGTGAAACAACTATATAAACGTTAATTTAAAGCACATAAACGAAACTAGCTAATAACATCTCATACATTACTCAAATTGGGTGTTTGAATATACCAACATAATCTACTCAACACCATAAACATCCCCATATTTTTAAAATAATTTTTGGACCACCCACGCGTCGCCACGTACCGGTAAGGGCACAAGCGCGCCCCCACGCGCGCCTAACCCTGACGGAAACTTAACTACCGTTAGGAATATTCCGTGGAATATTCTGTTAAACATACCTAACGTCGTTAATCGCCGTTAGGAATATTCTCCTTTCTTCTCCGGTGGATCACCGGACTCCGCCGCCTGGCGCCATTTGTGTCACCGGAAATTGGAAAATTTTCAAAGCTTGATATCTCCGCCATTTCTCAACGAATGAAATTTGTACCAAAATGAAGCTTACAACGAGTAGAAAAAAACCTTACCACTTGAAGCCTTGAAATCCACGGGATCTCGCCAGAAAACCCTCAAACACTCCAGCAACCTCTGCAACTTGATGAACTCGAGCTTCCCGATGTCCAAAACACTTCAAAATTACTCCCCGAGCTTCGTGAAGACGTCCTAAAGCTTCCTATAAGCTTAAAACTCACTGAAAATTCCACGATCACAACTGCATGAACAGTAACCCAAAATTGGGTTCTCTGGTTTCCGGGTTTTACGAGTTCTCACGTCGAACTAAGGGTATGGATGAGCTCTTGAGCTCACAAAGAACACAAAAGCAACCTTCTCGACATTGATCCATGAAAGATGAAGCTAGTTTGAAGAGTGACTGTACAACTTGTACGGACAACGGATGTAATCTGAGAGAAGGAGAGAGAAAGAGAGAGTCAACAGAGAGGTTTAGGTGTGTGTGTGTGGTCCTCGTGGGTCACCAACCAAAAACAAAAGAAAATAAAACCTAAGTCCTAAGTAGTTCCAAAAGTATAGGAAAGTTAGGAATTAGACCACAACCAAAAACATATCACACATAACACATTTCAACGTCCAAGGGTAATTAAGTCATTTCATTACCCTCGAGGATAAAATAATATACACCTTCGAGACAGGCTGTCACAATTATAAAAAATAAAATAAAAAAATTATAAATGGGGTTTGGAACAGAAGAACAAAAAATTAAATTAAATTAAAGAGATTACTAAAAAGAAATTAATTTTTATAATAAATCTTATCAATAAATAATACTTACTGATAATAAAAGGATCTTAAATTTAAAAATTGGGACTTATTTCAAGAAACTGGATTATTTCTAATATTGGTCAAAAAATTGGACTTACATCAAGTTTTCCCTCCTAGTAATACGAGAGTGTCGAGGGATTTGAATTCGATTAAAAGGTAGTAAGAGCAAGAGCACACTATTCAAATCAACTAAATTGTCATATATCTATGTTGTACAAACATTATGTGTTATCTGTTGCACCATTTGGTATGTTATAATCTACTCGTGAAACGGTGAACAGGTTTTCTATAGCATTAGAGTCGGGAACTCTCCAACGACAAAAAATTTGGCATGCGACTTGCTCATCTGTGAATGACATCATAATTCTCGACTCTATCTACCCTTTTATAACCATCTAGTTTCTCAGTACGTGTTTAGGGTTGGTTTGGTACTGCTGTGCTTTGAAAAAAAGCTACTTCTGCTGTGCTGTGAGAATAAGCAGCTGTGAAATAAAGCAGCAGAGTGTTTGGTAAACTTTTTTGTAAAGGTGCTTTTGAAAAAAAAAAAAAAAAAAAGCAGTATTAGAGTGTTTGGTAAACTTTTATGTAAAACAGATGTGAAAAAAAGCTGGTTTTTCAAAGCTTGGTTTTGCAGCTTCTTGTTTTTGGCTTTTTTTCATCCAAAACTGTGAAAAAAAACTGAAGCTGAGTGTTTACCAAACACAAAAACAACTCCCAACTTTTTTTGATAGCAATTTTTTTCAGAATCATCTCAATACCAAACCAGGTCTTAAAATACCAATTGGCTTTCTCGTGTGTGCAGTCTCCGAATCATTATTGGTATTTGTTTAATTTTACTACCTTTACCTTTAGAAAATTTGTATTGGATTCTTTTTTCCTTTAGAAAATTGGTAGTGTGAAAGTTTCACCAAACTCTCCTAGTTTAGATACTTTAGTATGTGAGCTACAAAACAGCAGGAAGTGAAAGATATCAGCTTCCGTGGAGCAGAATTAACCTCATTTTCTCATGATCTAAGCAGCCTGTCAAAACTCAGAAGATCAATATACTTACGTACTTGTTACTAGATGAATCATTTCCAATTTACTTAATATCCTTACAAATTCTCTCATCTAAAACTCTTCGTCGTCGAGTGTTGATCTGGTGATGGGGGTCGCCCATCTCCCCATATGAGCGGTATAGTTTACGCACCGAATAACTCCTCTTCCATTAGGACCGTCAGGAAAGTCGATGACACTGATGCTTCCTGCATCAAGATGAAATGATCCCAACCATTCTTTTGTCAGATTCAGGCAGTGGCCCATCAGTGCTATGTGCAATGCAGGATGGCCAACTGCTACAACAACTCTTTCTGGTTCGGCTTCAGCAGCTAGTTCGTTTATGAGATACTGCCAGGCTTTCTCGGATTGGTCCCACACATCTCCCATCACACTGTCCTCGTATCCATTCAACCAACCAGGCCGAATAGGTAGAATCTTTGTTCCGCCCTGCAGAAAGAAAACAGTCACTCAATAAAACACACTGAAAAACAACGTTACACGACTAGCTTGTTTACCTTGGCGCATGGACTCTATTACAACAAATACAAAAGAAAAAAGAGGCGACAACGTGAATGTTTGATGCTAGTGCTGTACTGTTTTATTGTGTTGGGCTCAATCACCCAGTTATCTATCTCAGTTTAGGTTAATAAGTGAGATTATTTTCCGCGATGTAAACAAGAAGCAAGAACTTCTGTTATCAAGTTCAGATGTCTTGCCTTAGATGAGCGCTGAAGGATGTCTTCAACATCAAGGTTCTCCATCTGTTTCATTTCCACGCCACGCGGCACACAATCAACACCCAAGCAATCTGCAGCTTCTTGCACCTACAATTGCTTTAGCACGTAATTAACTAGGGAACAAAACTTAATACACTTTTAAACAGAAGATTTAAATCTCCAATTCTTTCACAACCCCCACCCACCAAAATTTTAGTTTCAAACAAGGAAGAGTAAAGGAGAGAATACTTTATTTTACTAACGGCTGGGGAAGATCTAGGATGAGCTTACTTTGGAGATGGTAATTGCTGTTTCAACACAAGCTTTCTTCGGACTGCTAACTATAGAACTCACTTTCAAATCAAGAAGTAGCTCTGCAGTTTTCTGGGACTGTAATGCATCCCCGAAAAGTACATTCAAATTCAGATCATAAGACAATGTTATGAAAATGTAAAAAGAGACAAAAAGTGGATGCCACACCTTTATAACCCCAAGCATGTCCATTGGTTGATCCCCGGTCGAAGGAAAACCAGTCTGTTTAACATTGAAGGTGACAATTTATAAATAAACATCTGAGGAACATTCAGCTTGGTGAATTCCCTTGATAGTCCAACCATAAATTTATACTCAACAAAACCAAGTGACAAAATATCAACCAAAAAATCGTGAGTCACTTTCAAATTATCACCTCATACCTCTGTGTCGCTCTGTGTGGATCCATGACAAACAAGTACAATGCGCTTACTTGCTTTCCTTCCCCCTGAACTTCCACTAGCAACCGGTGAACTTGGGGTCTGCATTAATATTGCAATACCATTTAGAGGACAGCATATCCAGTTACACTACCTACATAACAATGATACCTCCATGAACCACACAAATAATTCAAACAACAGAGAGAGAGGGAGGGAGGGAGGGAGGGAGGTTTGAAGATCTTTTTCTCCATACTTCCTAGTAAATAACAGAACGGAGAAATTAATCTGTTTCTTCTTTATCAGTAAGATGCCCTATACCTGGTTTAGGCGATTAAGGCAAATTAATGGTGATCCACCCTCAGCTCGTGGGATGAAATCCAGCACACTTACACCACAATTGCTCTGAACCAAAACCCTAAAGTACTCCGTTCCCAATCCTGATTTTTCAAAAAGAAAGTTTTAAAAAGTAATTAATGAAATGGACAAAAGTATGTTAAGAAAGAAATTTCGTATATCTGAGAAAGGAAAAATACCAATAGAAGTTGCAATGAGAGCTTGATTAACAGCATTGTGAGCAACCACAAGAACAGACCTGCTTTCATGCAACAGTATTCGATTCCAGCAGCTCCTAGCACGCGCCCATAACTCTCTCACAGGATAATGACCGTCAATAATAAAGTTTGCAGCATCTACCTGCCATTGATGAAAAGCTTCACCAAATTTTGCTTTTCCCTCATGCTTCAAGAGGCCCTAACATCAGAAAGTATACTAGCAATCATTGGACTATCTTCACATCATTTTGTTTAGTTTAACTCCTGCTGATGCAAAATTTGAAAAGTAAAATGGTTAAGAACATAGAAAATAGAACTCACTTGGAATGCATACAAGTCAATTTCCCTCAAATCAGAGTCCATAATCATTTCCTCTTCGCGAGGGCCCCATATAATTTCAGCTGTTCTCTTTGACCTCGTCAGGGGACTGCAGCACACGATGCAAATTTTAGCAGGGACGAAATGCAAAAGAAGAAATCTTGAACAAGGACAGTTAACGAGACTCAACAAAACTAAAAAAATCACGGATTTGATATATGCTAAAATGTGGTTGGTGGAAATGCTCAAGATGGTTGAATCTAATACATTGTCTTTGCTTATCGGAACAACACTCCCCTCACTTACAGTTTTGTGGCCTCTTGCATCACTGGAGATCCCAGCATGCGAAACTGGCAAATTGCACAACTGAAAGGTTGTGTTTTGTATCAAGAATTTGATTTCCAGAATTATAGGTTAAGGTTTTCTTTGAGTTACCACTATTCGTAAAAACTTAAGCTGTAAAAGGTGGAACAATTATTCATACTCAAATAGGAGAAAGTGGGATAAGGAAAGGCCGTAACGATTAACAAGACAGCTACCTTGGCTCCGACTACTCTACAACTAGTACAAAGTCTATGTTTCGATTGGATTTATATAGGCCTGAGTCCTGACATAACAGATTGATTGGATACTCCCACCAAATGCTCCCTTTTCCTATTGGATTTTCAGAATCATGGGAAAAGGTATTATGCAACGAACATTGCTTAACTCCTGCAAATCATAGTTGACACACATGCAAAACAATCTCATTTAAAATCACACCAAAGAGAAATGCAGAGATCCAAGGCTGTGATTTGTCTCCAAGTAGGAATGACTCCTTGCATCAACGCAGCCAGTCTTTTACTTAGGCAATTTAATTAATGCTTTAATCTCATAAATATTTTTCCATGTGGAACCTAAAACCCCAATCATATCCTCAAAAATTAAAAGCATTAACAATTGCTTAAAACAATGAGACCACATTCCCAACAATTCAATTATTTCTCAAGCATTACATAAGCTACAAAACAAATCGAAATGCAAAGATCCGAACCTGGTGAAGCAGACATCGAAGGCATCATCGATGAGCATCAGGCGAGAAGTCTCAGCCTGAGCCTCGCCTTTCTTGGTGAGCACAGAGAAATTGGAGCTCCCCTGGATCCGGCCCTCCTCGTTCCACGTGCTCTGCCCGTGCCTCACCAGCACCACCCTCTTTGCCCCCTTCACCGCTGGGAATGGCATCGACGAGTAGAGCTCGGAGCTCAGCTTCCTCTCCTCGGAGGACTTGGGTGCCTCCTGCAAGCCCGAGCCAGCCGAAGAGCATCGGATCCTGAAGGGGCTGGTGCTACTGCTAGGGTGCACCCTTGTCGGGTTTGGGATCGGGAAGAGGAAGACGACGGCGGAGCTTGTGCGGTGGACGAGAGAGGGAGTAGGAGTGAGTGAGATCATAATCTGGTATTTGGATTTGGAAGCGTTTGTTTCTCTGTGTTTTGGGTTGTTTGGCGCTAAAGAGCAGGAAAATCAGTTGGAGGGGGGGTTTTGTATGGTTACCGTTGCTTCTATGGGTCAGGATGAGGAGGGGGAAGGTAATACAGTGACACATGCGACTCTTGAAGTTCTAACTTTATTTTTATTTTTATTTTGTCGAATGATAAGTTTTGTTAGATTAGGTGTGATATTAGTTATCAACGAGATTCGAACCTACGCCGCCTTGAAGTTATCTTGCTTCATCTTCAAGAGAAATTTTTTCAACTACATGGGACACAATATAGTATTCGGCGTGTCATAATATAAGTGGGAGGACACGAAAAATTGACTTACCGCAATCCCTAAGCAAAAATAACTAACTTTTGGAGCATAAATTCAAAAACCTACATATAGCATATCTTGTTATAAATGTTTACAGCAAATCTGGGACTCAACAAACATAATTTAGATTAAATCAGTAGCTACAATTCATGAAAGGAAATCGGGATCCAAAACTTCAATCCACACAAACAACCGTCTTGCTATTTGATGGAACCGTGGACGCAAAAGAGACACAAAACCATGGCTGCAACAATAAAATTACTCCTCCATGGCAACGTTTTTGTCGAGTTGCAATTGGGAAACCTTGACGAGTGATGGCTCTGGTTGTAGCGCACTCGGAGCTTTGACCAAAATGGTGCTCTGATCAATCTCTTTAATTGCCTCATTGCGCTCCTTAGCACTCTTGCCCTTCATCCTGCACAAGTTTTTCAATAAGTTTCGTAAGATGAAGAAAACCAAAAACAGGTTTACCATTTCTACAAAAGGTTAAAAGGGAAGAGGAAGAAAGTACCTATTCTTGTGGTGTCTGGCCTCTCTCTCCACTCTGACTTTATCGATCTTCTTAATTGCCTTCAAAGTGTTTTCTGCAAGATTCCTGTCGTATCTCTCAGGCCTATTTCGCTTTCTCTCAAACTCAAAGGTTGAGTCCTACAGGGAAGAAAGCAAAGAGTAACATAACTAACAGTATATTACCCCAAGCACTTCAACGATCTAACTAAAATGTTTGAAACAATAAAATGAACAAGATTGGACTAAGAGAGATCAATGTTTGTTTACCTGTGTCATATCCTTCCCACGCAACCGCCTATAAGCCTTAGTCCATTTCACTTTACGAGGATTCCTCTTCATTTTAAAGTTCTTGTGGCATTTGGATCTACAGAATCGAAAAATCTAGAGGAGGATTGGTGTCAGGTAACCCAGTCCCACATCATATATGTGAATGTAATCAGTAACCATCATCCATTTAGCAGTGAAACCATAAGGGGTACAGAAAATGCAAACCATTCGTGGAGTAAATCTGAACTAAAAGATCAAGAAATTAACTCGACTTGAGGACCTCAATCCAAAACAAAACCCCCAAAAAAAGCCCAAATTGAGTGCCACATAAATTGACTCATTCTAACGTCAACCATGAATGGAATGAGCATACACAGCATCCTTGACATAACCATGTAAACAAATCTAATCTAGGCTGACTTATACTTCCCTATCAACCCAACCAACAGTAAATAAGGCAGCAGTTGAATATAGACTGGAAAACCATATAGGTTCAGCTGTTCGGGACTAAAGTGAGTACCATTTTCACTTTTACATGTCGTCAAAGGTAAAGTCAAGTTTAACGACCAGGACATAGCATCTGAAGTTAAAATATCTTACTTAGAGTTCATGAGTGCATCACCGTATAACTATACCATGGTCCATGTTGAGAATACTACAATACGAATACAACTTCTGTGCTTTAGTAGGGAGTATATAACAACTTTACCTTTGCATCATTGCGAACAAACTGAATCCCATGTCCAGGGTATACGGTAGAGGAACAAAACCAGCATTTTTCCAACCTCATTGCGTCCTGTGATTATATAGTACTACTTTCTGGAAACAAAAATAAGGACACTGTCATTAAGAATACACAACCAACCACATCAATTATTACAAAAGTACATGGAACCCCTTTATTCATCTATCCAAATCCATCCATCAATTACAACCGAAATGATTACAAAGATCCCGCCAAGCAGCATCACAATATATACCCTCCATTCACATTAATCTACCAGACATTAGATCGGTTGATATATCAAAAAAGCACACATTCTCAAATCTCAAAGTTAGCTCTAACAGTCATCTTCTAAAGTCCCACTGCTACAAAAAAGTTATCGAAAGTAACATAGTGGCCAAAAAATAAAATCCCAAGTCCCACCTATGACACGAAATGGGCACAACTACGGCGATACAATACAACACGATAAGCATTTTGGGAAAACTCAAAAATTCAGGATACAGGTACGGCATAGATACGTCAATCAGAAATATTATTTACAAATTGTAACCTACAATATCCCAAAATTAAAGAAAATAACTAATTCCATATTAATTTGGATATTATTGTTTTTATTCTAAAATCAGGATGCAATTTGTGGCCAGTTTTCAATCTTTTTCCCCAAAAAATGAGGGGAAGAAAAAGGAAAATATTTCGACATGAAGTTGAACATCCAGGTTGGGATTAAGCCTATCAACCAATATCTAGCAGTGGACGTCATTTCCAAAATCAGAATCACGAAAGAAAAACATAGCAAAATTTAGAAGTGAAATTAAAGAATCGATTGAGATTACCTATTGGGAGAGAGAGAGAACTCACCGACTGAGAAGAGAGAGAGAGAGAGAGAGAGAGAGGAAGGCGAGGGGTGGGAGAAGGTGAAGCGCCTGCAAGAGACGTCGCAGGAGACGAGAGGAGGGGGGAAAGAAGAGAGAAGTCGGGTTTAGGGTTTTAGTAATAGTTGGGCTGGGCAATTCCGGGTTTACACAATAATAAAATAAAGCAGTTTTACCCAGGCTTGGTAGTTCAAGTGGCAAGGGCTTGTTCCCTTAAGCAAGATTTTGAGTTCGAACCTTGTAAATAGAGAAGCTAATATTAGAAGAGTTTGCCGTTCGAATGAGGTCCAACTCAGCTCGAGGGATTAGTCCTCACCTACGTGTTAGGATACCCTGGATTCATCCAAAAAAATAGCACAATTTTGTTTTGGGGTGTGATATCTACACATCCCTTTTTACTTCTTACATCCCTTTAAATTTTCGATCGTCGGATCGTAAGAATTGAAAAAAATCAAAGGACAAAAGTTGACAACGGGTGTGTGTGGATAACACACCCCTTTGTTTTTTATTGTGAGGTATGATTTTTCATATCATAGCGTATTTATTACAACTTAAACTGAATACTATTTACCAATAAGATTTTCTAAAATTTAAACAATCATATTCCTAGTTTTTTTTTTTTTTGTCAAACTATTACTTCCATTAATTAAAAAAGGCAAGTACAAGAAAAAGACAATCCACTACCTAAATACAAGCCCAACAACAAATAAGAAAATACAATAGATAGGCCAAAAAATGGTTAACTGAACAACAACAAAAAAACCCTAAGATTGGAATGTAAACAGGGAGCCGCTAGATGGGCCTCCATCGCAAGGCCACCACCACCACCAAGAGAACAAACCAACGGAACAACTGGATCAACGAAAAATGAGGGTGAGCGAGCCACTCGCGCAGTGAGCACTCCCATAATCCTACTAAATAGTGCTAAAAGCACTTTAACAGCAACCCAACACCTGAGTAGAAGCACATGGGTCAAGTAGCAAAGGCTGGTCATTGAGGATGCACGATATAAGTAGCATCGGAGCAGGAGAGGACCATGAAGGTCCAGATCTTCATGGGAATTAAGACAAAGTTTAAGAACAAAACTCAAGGGAAGCCAAAACAAAGACCAACAGAGAAAAGTTGAGAAATTAAAAAACTTTTTTAGTGAAAGGATGAGGGAAGGATGAAGGAAAGAAGAGGGAAGACGCAGAGAGTAGAGATGGATGAGAGAAGGAATGAGGGCTAGAAAAGGGTAGGAAGGATGGGGGAAGGATACGAGAAAGATGTAGAAAGAAGGGGAAAAAGGAAAGATCCAGAGGGTGAAGGAAGAGAAAGAGGGAAGGATGGCTAGAAAGAGGTGGGAGTTGGGCTGCCGCCGAGCCCAAGCTGGAGCAAGGAACGACAGCTAGGAGGGTTTTTGTTTTCGTGAAGGCAGAAGGGAGGAAATGTTTTAGAGAGAAAGCAATAGTCACACATCAACTTTTTTAGTCACATTCCTAACTAAATTAGGCTGCACTACTCTTCTTTGAGTGTGTAAATATTCAAGTAAATGGTGCATTAGGTCGCCAATGATGAAGTAAGTTCAATTGATGGGGTCGTCAACATAATAAGCGAATGCAAGTCTTAAGTCCACAAAAGAACTCATAAAAATGTAAAACTCACAAAATCTCACTAAGGTAAAACCCAATATGGGAGAAAAACCCATAGATTAAGGAGAAACGTGAGAAGTTTACATTAAGTCAAAACTAAACATCTTTTGGACACAAGTAGAAAAGCTCATAAGGGTATGACCAACCTAGGATAAGTGTCTCATTAAAACTTAGTTAGGCAGCGAAAACAGTGACACAAATACTCTTAATCATAGGAAAAAAAGAGTACATTAAGCTCTACTTCTAGATACTCTTCCTGAGTTTGACAAAATTTTCAAATGAGAAATAAAAGCATTGCATATGAGATCAGTAAGGTTGTCTAGGATCCTATTGCTTGACTTCAATCTCCTCATGTTTTGTTGATGTGATTTGGATGCAATATACTTGTCGTTGACTTCATTGATGTATCATGTCTTGGTTTACTCGATACATATAGCATAGTCTCCAGGGGTCGTCGTTGGAACTCATTGATGGATGAAAAATCATAAAAAATGCAGGGCCCATATTTTACTGATTTCGCAGTTAAGTTTAACGAATTGCCTAACGAAAGTTTAATATTGCATCGAATTTATCAATTGATGTGTAATAGTGCAAGTGTTCAAAAGAGAAAGGGATAAGTTTGTTATACTACTCAAAATTGAGGCGTAATTAACCTATTTGTTAAGTCATCGTTCAAACTCGGGAAGCAAATTACGATAGAAATAGAAGAAACGCGCTTCGAGTTTCTATCTTATTGGTTCTTGTCGTTTCTTACTCTCTCTCCCTCCTCTGTCTCTCTCTCTCCTCTCTCACTTCACTCCCTTCTGCACTACTCACTCTCACACTCCAAAACCCTCCGCCTTTCTCTCTCTGGGTTTTATTGGTGTTGTACTTCCTGCATTTCTCAGAAAGCCCTAACCTTGCCGTACAACACCAGATCTGCGCTGACATTCATTCAGTTCAAGCTATGCTCCAATAGTTCACTCAACCCCCAAATGTCGAACTCCGACCCGAAAACCCGACCCCGTCCAGGTCCATGGCCTCCCGTACCGGAGTCCTCCCCAATTCCCCCTTCTTCCTGGGCTAAGAAAACCGGGTTCCGCCCCAAGTTCTCCGGCGAGACCAATGCCAGTGATTCTGGCCAGATATCGCTGCCGCCACCCCGGCCCCGGGAGCCAGAAGCCCAGCCCGATCTCGAGGCTGGTCGGGCCCGCCCCCAACCGGTGCTGAATGGTGTACCCGAGCGCGAGATGGCTACACCGACCCCAGCGGCAGCGGCGCCTTCGGATAAGGACAACAAGGTGAAGAGGAGGAAGGAGTCTGATGGAGGGTCGAAGAGTGCGGCTAATGGGCCCCATGGGGCTAATGGGCAGGCTGCGGCTGGGACTACGGAGCCCAATTCGCAACCGCGGAGGGCGGCCAGGAGTGAGGAGGTGGTTGATGTTTTGCCACATGGGCTTGACGATGATGGGTATGTGTCTAGGCACTCTCATATGAAGTATGAGCTCAGAGATACTCCTGGTCTGGGTGAGTGTATTTTCTCATACAAATGTGCTTTCTTTCAATAAATTTAATTGGTAAATTTTGAGCTCGGTGTGTTTGTACAGTCGTTGATTGTCTAATTTGATTCGGTTTTTTGATAATTCAAAATGTATTATGTTTGTTTGTGATTGTTCGGCGGTTTACTTGTTTTTTGTCTTGATTAAGCATTGTAAATGTAATTGAATTTGCTTTTGTAAAGTCAATTTTTTGTGATTGATACGGTTTGTGTTTGTTGGTACAATGTTGCAGTTCCCATTGGTCTCTACGGGTTTCAGCATTATCTTTCCATGTTGGGTTCGATAATTCTAATTCCACTCGTCATAGTTCCGGCAATGGGTGGTACTTATGTGAGTAGTTATGCACATATATTTATTTTATGTTATGCTTTTGTTTACTGGAGGGTACAGTGTTGGATAGTTTGAACTGACTGGATTTAGAGTATGTAGGAGGATACCGCAAATGTTGTCTCCACAGTGCTTTTTGTTTCGGGAGTGACCACTCTCTTGCAGACATCGTTTGGATCCAGATTGCCCTTGATACAGGGCCCGTCATTTGTTTACCTAGCTCCTGCATTGGCGATAATCAACTCCCCAGAATTTCAAGGACTCACTGGAAATGTATGCTTCTGTTCTTGCTTTTGTTTAGTTTGACTGGGAGCTTAGTGAATATCTTTTTGTATTTACCACAGGCCCTTCAATAGTTAAGTGTTCAGCCAAAACAAAGTGAATTTTGTTAGTGTTATCTTATAAAATTTCCGAATGCTTTAAATAGCGCACATCTTAGTGATTACTCCAGGCATGATGTCCGCCATCTAATAATGTTGTTTGCTTTTCTTCTTTCTGTCCTTTGTTGATTAGCTCGTACGGTTATATTATTAGAAGTTGCGTTTTGTTGCTTCAGTTTAAAATTTGCATTTTAATAGGGTTCATGTAAGTTATCAGGATTACTTTACATGCAAGGATTCTATTTCATTGTTTATATATTCTATGAACTGTTGCTTTATCCTATTTCTGAAGAAGAAAGACTCACTGATTACAAAGCTGTCTTTCAGTGGATCATATCAGTTTTATCTTTATTTTTAACAATACCAAAACGTTAAGACACTACATTCCAGTAAGATAGTCTAACAGAGGAAGAATAGTCCCTAAACTTTGGAGAAACCGAAGCCCATGAGGATGCCTGAAATTGGACTCTTTCTCATAAATTGTTGACCTTCTGCCCCCTAATGTCATCAATTATCCTTCTATTTCTATACTCCCAAACTACCCAAAACCCAGCCATCACAGCACAACTCCCCATTTCCACTCCCTTCTTATCTCCAAAAGCCAGAAACCTCTCCCATAACAAAGAAGCACATGAGACTGGGATCACCCAACTCAGGCCAAAACAGCCTCGACCACAAAGACAACACAACTGGAAGGTAAAGAAGCAAATGCTCCAAGCTTTCAGCCCCACCTTTACACATAGCACACCAATGAGGAGATGGACAAGAAGAATATCGGCTCCTCTAGACCATGTCACAAGTATTCAACGACCCATGAACTTATTTTTGCACCTGTACATTACCTAGGCAGTACTTGAGACTTCAAATTACATTATGCCATGTGCTAAATGAAGAGAAGATTTTGTAAAGTTTCTTAATCAGTGCCCAAGAGTGCTGAATGTACATTGGGTAGACCTTGTTTATAAAGCATAATTATGTACTTAAAGAAATGTCTTTCCCACTCAAAAAATAATTGACATATATTTGGCTTGAATAATCTCGATCTTGAAATAGAGGTTTTCCTAAATTTTGGAAGGGAATCTCAGCATTACAAAATAAATGTTGGGAAATTTGTCCAGCCACCAGTTGATATATATATATATATTTCGTGATATTCAGCAACTGCAATTAAGTAGCAAACCAGAGGTCATTTTCACATACAAACATCAATGATACGTTATATGCAATAAACTGTGCTGTTACATTCCTTTTGAAATTCCTGTTTTCTTT